ATAAAGGCACGACGGAACTCGGCTAATAGCAGTGATGTGGGCGGCGTCAATGGTGTTTGATGGTTGTAAGGTTTTAGTCGATTAATAAAAAGAAGGGGAAAGGCTATTTTTTTTTTTTGGTTAACGTGAGATAGGGTATGAGTTTTAATTTGGTGAGGTGTTTTGGTTGATAAGGGAATTTAATTAGAAAAAAGGGAAGTGATAAAAGGGATAAGGCTATCGAATCCAAAAGAAATTGATAGTTATTGGGGACTAAAGGGGGCGAAAATTTACAAAAATATGGGGGAAATATTTGGCAAAAGTGTCCAAATAATGATGTGGGAATTTTTAATTTCCAAAGTAATGTAGTCACCCGATTAATTTTTAATATAGGGTGTTTTCTACAGGGTTTTGAGATCTCTTGACGTCTTCAGGGGTGGACCAGATTTCTCGGCGTCTTTGGGTGAATTCAATTGTGGAAATCTCGACGTCTTTAGCATTTTAAAAAAAAAGTTGGTATTTTTACACAAATATCACCTTAACAGAAATTAATTACTTGTTAGGCACTGTTTAAGAATATTTTACAGATCTAGCAAATTTTAAATAATTTCTATAAAATTATTCCTACATTAAATTACACAATACAATTATGTCTATCAATAACTACTTGACATTTTTTGATGCGTTTTTGACCCTTTTAAAATCCTATACGTATAGTATATTCTAGGATTTTGAAAAATAATTTTGCAGAAAGGCGCGACACATTCACCGCATAGGATTTTGAAAAATAAATATTAGTTATAAAACTTTTATAAATATTTTTCAAAATCCTATGCGGTACATGTACCGCGTTTTTCTGCAAAATTATTTTCAAAATGATGATAATCTGTAATATTTTATAAAATTATTTATATTTTAAATTACTTACCCTCAAAATTTCCTAGAATATACTATACATATAGGATTTTGAAAGGGTAAAAAATGCATCAGAAAGTGTCAAGTGGTAATTGGTAGATATAATTGTATTATGTAATTTAATGCATGAATAATTTTATAGAAAGTATTTAAAAATATGTTAGATCCGTAAAATATTCTTAAACGGTTACTAACAAGTAATTAATTTTTGTTAAGGTGATATTTGTGTAAAATAGCCAAAAAAAATTTCTGGAATCCCATCTAACAATGAACACTCCTGAAGACATCGAGAGATCCCAAAACTCTATAAAAATCCTATATCAAAAATTAATCGAATGAGTACATTACTTTGGGAATTAAAAATTCCCACATCATTATTTTGGCACTTTTGCCGAAATATTTTGAGGGAATGTTGGGCAGTAAGGGAATAAATTTGGGGTTTGGAGTGCGCTAATGTGCGTTGATTATGGAGGGTTTGCTAAAGCACACCGTGAATGAAACGGTGCGCATGGATCTTCTCAACTGTTTTCTTTTTTTGGTGAACTTGGGTTTTATTAGGTTTCAAAGTTAAGGACCTCATAATATGTCTTAACATCCTAATTTTTAAAATAAAAGAACGAAATTTAAATAGGGGAGAGCCCTAACACTTTGACGAAAATAATGACCAACTTTTAGGGATAATAGGTGATTCGATTAGTTTGTTTTTAGGGATAGATGGGAATAGGGACGTTGGAAGATTTGTGGGAATGGAAAAAGGTTTGACTAGGTTGTAAATTGGGCCTGAGAAGGATGAATCGAATGGGACGAGTGAAAACAATATGAAAATTTAAAATTATTATATATTTTATATTTTTTTACGTATTGAAAATATGTTTTCGTTCTCCTAAAATTTTATAAGTTCTCTCCTTTCTAAATTTTTAAAAGTTCAACCCTAACATAAAAATATGTGTCCATCCCTACTTGAGAATGAGACCAGATTAAATCGGAGTTTAAATTTAGATCTAAAATTTTAAGTAGGTTGGTTTTAAATTTGGGGTCAATTTAAGATTTTAGTTTGATTGAATAAAAGTGTTTACAACGATGATACAATGGTTTAAATTTTAATTTTTTATAACGGGAGGAAACTATAAGTAAAATTATTATTTTGAGCAAAAAGTACACAAATAGTCCTATGATTATAGGGTGTTACTTTATTAAGTTATCTGACTGTTAAAATTTATAAAATAATCATCCGGCTATACATACATTCCAAACTTATCATTTTTTCATTAAAAAATTGACAAGCGTTTGAGCTAGACACTAACTTGTTGACTAGAATATGATAAAATCATATTTTCATAATGTATATAGTCACAACCGTTGCTTTCAAGTATTGACTCGACGACATAACATAAACGGAGACTCGATCCATAAAATGCAACTCAAATGGTTCTAAGATCAGATTATATCATATCTCAGTCAACAGATTAATGTCTAGCTTAGACGATCATCAATTTTTTAATGGAAAATGATGAATTTGAAACATTTAAATAGTTGAGTGACTATTTTGTAATGTTTAATAGTCGAGTGACTCAATAAAGTAACATCCTACAATTGAGGACCATTTTATGTACTTGACTCTTTAAAAAATTATTGTACTTAAATATTTGAATTTTTAAATTTATATCCAAATAAACTATTATTTTCTAAGGGGATAAAGCAATGTCCAAAAGTGTAGGAGTGGCAAAGACTTTATTATTTATTTTATTTTGCTTCTGTTTTTCAAAGGGACGTTATCTTTAAAGGTTGGAGATTCGTTTCTTAAAAGATGTTTTTGCTTAGAATCTGAAATCAATAACATAATCAACCAAACTGAAATATATAAATAAAAATTAATTTAAATAAGAGAAAATAATTTTAGTGACCGAAAATATCTTATAATATACGATTTTAATCAACTTTTTTTGGATTTACGAAAATAACCAACAAATTCGCAACGCGAACTCCAATTTCGCAACACAGTTTCCAAATTCGTAACTCGAATTTCTTTTCCGCAACGCGATTTTCCAAATTCGCGACGACGTTAATTCTAAAATCGCGTTGCGAATTTCAAAACTAAGTTGCGAATCTGGAAAATTCGCGTTGCGAATTTGGAAACTGTGTTGCGAAATTAGAGTTCGCGTTGCGAATTTGTTGGTTATTTTCACAAATCCAATTTTTTTTAAAAAAATCGTATATTATAAATCATTTTCGGTCACTGAAGTTATTTTTTCTTTAAATAAATAGAGATATTTATTTATCCAAATATATATAAATTTTTTAAAACTGTAAACAATGGAGAGAACACTTTTCGAATAACTGAAGCAAAACCCTAACTTATAGCTGATTATTGAACATTCATGAACTTACGAACTCAAGTAAAGTGAAACTATGTACGCTTAGTTTCAAAGAGATATTTGACAGCTATTTGGCCAAAAAAATTATTAAAGGTTTAATTCAAATTTTTAATCCCTCTACTATATTGAAATTTAATATTTAATCCTTCTACTTGGCATAATCAAGTGTCGATATATTCTTATTGATATAATGCTAAAATTAGTCTCTAACATTTACTCAAATAATCATTATTCTTTTTTAGAGTATATTAAACTCCAAAGTTTTAATTTTTTTAATCAAAATGACACAAATTAAATGAGAATTGTTAGTTAAATAACAGTTAATGTATACTATTGATAGAGGGACTGGGCAGCCCAGGGCCCAGAAATTTTATAATATATTATGCGTGTAAAAATATGGTTTTATATTAGTTATAGGGTTCAATTATTTTTTACATTTGTTAATAAATGTTTATTTTTTCTCTAATATTTATTATTATGAGATCAATTTTTTTAATATTTATTATTAGGGGCCTACTCTTATAATTTATTTTTGTCTATTATTTGTATAAGTGTCAAGTGTTTGTCAATATTTTTTAACATTTATTATTAAAGGTCCAATTTTTTAATACTTATTGGCCTAATTTTTTAATATTTATTATTAGGGGTATGCTTTTAAAATTCAATTTCTTTTTAATATTTATTTTTTATTATGAGTTCAATTTTTTTAGTACTTTTTATTGGAAGTACATTTTTATAATATTTACTATTATGAGTATACTCTTAAAATTTACTTTTTCTTTAATATTTGTTATTGGAGAACTATTTTTTTTAATATTTGTTATTATAGAGCTACTCTTAAAATTTATTTTTAGAAAAATCACTTAAATAACAGTGTGTAACCAAAACAATGACCGTTATGTAGTGATAATGACATCGTCTGAAACCGCGATATCCACAACCGGTATGTCCACAATAACATATGTTATTAAAAATTCACAACCACAATACTTGTAGTGACCACAACATCATCAGTCGGCAATAGCAATAAACACAACATGAGCAAAGACACAAATGCAAATTGTTATTTAAATCCCTGATTAAAGGGCCTAATTTTTTATTCGCCTGAGGGCCACCAAAATCTCAGAAACAAGTTTGGCTCCTGTCGTAGTATTTATATATGTGCTTAATTGTTGTCATGATATATGTAAAAATATCTCGTAAGTAGGAAAAAAACTCTGAAATCAAAGCATATAAATGGCTGAATTTAAGTTTTGGCTAATATGTATATTCGTTACTAATTATGGAATATGATTAACTGAATTTTTCACATAGTTTGGATTGTAGAACCGAGTGATGAAAAAAAAATACATCACCACTTTAACACCATAAGTAATCATGCTATCAAGTTAGCCATGCTAATAATAAGTAGAAATAGTAAATCTTAAATTTTAACATTGTAGAGGGACTAAAATCATATTTAGACCACAAAACCCCACTGAAATCAAAGCATGTAATGGCTAATTCATTCCTCTAAAAACCTTATCTTGTTGCCATTTGTGTAAGATGAAAGCAAAGAAACGTAAATAAAATGAAGTCCACCACAAAGTCCAGACTCCAGGGTCTGGTTCATGCTGACAAAACCCTTATAAATAGTTTCATTTTCGGCAACATTTTCATCATCTCTTACCACTCCAAAAAAAAATAAACACAGAACAAAACATTTAACAAGTGTGCCAAATCGATAATAAGATGAAGACACATACTATATTATGGGTTCTCATCATATTGCTATGCACTGAAGCCGCCATTGTGCACGGTGCTGATAAGGGGAACGGCAACGGCGGTGTTGCATCCGGTAATTCTAAGGGGAACAGCAAGGCGATGATGAAAATTATCTTGTCACCGTCGAAGAATGGGCAAGAACGAGCCTACTGCAAAGCGAAAAGTGCTTGTTACAAGAAGACACTTGTTTGCCCATCTGAATGCCCTCAAAGGAAGCCTAAGAATAACAAGAAACAAAAGGCTTGCCATGTTAACTGTGGCAGCAAGTGTGAAGCCACATGCAAGTGTAAGCATAATCCCTCTAAACCCTAGACCCTAATTTTAAATATACTTAACTAAGGCTATAAATGAGTCGAATCGAGTTTCGAGTATTGTTGATCACAACTTTATTTGAAAATTTTAAAATTGAATTTGACTCGACTCGAAAGCTCACGAGGTTAAAATTATCAAGTCCGACTCTAACTTAAAATAAAAAATTAAAGTTTGATTCGAACTTGAAAAAACTTAAATTCGAAATATTTTCATATTTAACTCGATTGAAGCTCAAACTTGAGCTCGGTTCAAGCTCGAACTCGAGTTCGAACTTGAACCTTAATTAAATAAAAGACTTATATTATATATAAAAAAACAACATATAAATATTCATATTATTAATAATTTAATTTAAAAGTTTTAAATATTTACTCTACTATTTTTTTGAGTTGTTTTAGATCGTTAAGAATTTTAATTGAGTTTCGAGTTCGAGTCGAATTCATTTAATTTAAATGTATCAAATTTTGACTAAGTTAAACTTGAATAGCTGGTGATATGTCTCGTCTTATTTAAATCTTTGTACTTAACTTCTTCTTTTTGAAATAGGGTACTTTGTATTAAAGAGAGTAACAAAGTACATCACCTCAAGTCCTTCATTAAAATACTTCCTTAAACCTACCTCAAGTACTTCATTAAAATATTTCCTTAAACCTAAATGGAGGAAAAAGATAAACCTTGTACTTAACTAGCTTGGACTGATTCTAAAATTCTCATTTTATGTATGTTTTAAGGGAGGAAACCAAAATGTGATGGCTACGGTTCTCTTTGCTACGACCCTCGTATTGTTGGTGGTGATGGGGTTATGTTTTACTTCCATGGAGCAAAAGATGGGAACTTCGCCATTGTCTCAGACGATAATCTTCAAATCAATGCTCATTTCATCGGCACCCGACCACTAGGAAGGACTCGTGATTTCACATGGGTGCAAGCCTTGGCCGTCATGTTCGACACCCACACTCTTGTCGTTTCAGCAAATAGAGTCTCGCACTGGGACGACCACGTCGACGCTCTCACCGTCCAGTTCGACGGCGAGACCGTCAACATCCCTTACGACGGAGAAGCCGAGTGGACCAACGGCGACGCGTTGGTCGAAAGAACCGACGACAAAAACAGCATCCGAGTCAAGATATCCGGATTGGTGGAGATGTACATAAGGTGAGACCAATCGGGAAGGAAGAAAACAGGGTTCATAAGTATCAAATACCAGAAGATGATGCGTTTTCTCACTTGGAAACACAGTTCAAATTCGAAAACTTGAGCGATGAAGTTGAAGGAGTGCTGGGAAAAACGTACCGGCCGGGGTATGTTAGCCCAGTGAAGAGAGGGGTGCCAATGCCGATGATGGGCGGGGAAGATAAGTACCAAACCCCATATCTGTTCTCGACTTTCTGCAATGCTTGCAGGTTCAAGAGGCCATCTGGATCACTTGCCGCTATCTAAATTATTGGACTTCATTTCCTTCATCGTCGTGCTGATAATGATCAAACATGAAGACTAAACTTGTCTGCAGTGAACCAATATTTTTCAATTATATTGTTTTGCATGTTTTCACATTTTATACTTTTGATATTATAAAAGAATAAGGGCCCTATGAAAATTGCCCATTATATTTTTTTCTCATGTACTACAAATATTTCTTAATAATTATTACCGAAATACTTTACTCTGGAGTTAATTGTGTAACAAAATTAAACAAGATAATAAAACCATAAAACAAAATAAACACTAAAAAAATCTACAGTATTGAACATAGGTTATAAGAGAATTGTTAAAATCATTAAAACCCTAGAGAATCATGAGTATGTGAGTGGACACTATAACAGCTTAAAAACTCTCTCGTCCACCCCTAAACTCCCATTTTTTAATATATATATATCAAATAGATCGTATCATAAACTTTTTATTAAACGAAATTCAAAGAACAGTGCATCAAAAAAATTTCTTTCTTTCACCATCTTCATATATCTTTCAACAATTCATTAAAGAAAAAGGATAAGAGATTGTCGTGATGCTGTTATCGGAGGCTTCGGTACTTAGGGTCCGAAGGATGTGAGTTCGAATTAAGATGTAAAACTATATATTTTAAAATATAATATAATTTAATTAGATCATATCATGACATAAAAAATCCATTAATATATAATATATAAAATGTTTTTCTTCTTTCTATTAAGTTTGTAAAATTGAATATACATGGATAAATCTGAATATAAAAAAAACATATCGACGAGTTATCAAAAATAAAATAAATAAATCTACATTATACATGTACTTATGGTTTCTCATGTTTTCAGAAGTAATTTATAACTCAAACTATCATACATTAAATTTTTAAATTTAAAATGAAATGTCCCCACTTGTTGTGATATTCTCTTCTACAACAGGCCATGCATGCAATCTAAGCTGGCGCCCCGATGGATTTGCCGTCTATTTAATGGAGTTGACCTGAGCTATTCTCTTTAGATCTTAGTTAATGCAACTTGTAATTATTGAAAGTTTAAGTTTCATGAGAGGACTATTCAGGGTTTACCGGAAAAAGAATATTCAAGTAGTCGTAATATTAAAAGGGTGCCGGCGGTCTAGGAGGCGCAGTTTTACCGGAAAAAAGAAACAGTTTGACCATGGAGCTTTATTTATTTAATCGATGGCGCCGTTATCGGAGGCTTGGGTCACATGATAAAGCGTTGATGTCAGTTGGTAGTTGAGCTTCAAGAATCAAAGTTATTACTATTTTGCATCCCAAAGTCTACATCTCGGCAAAACTTTCGAGATAATGTTCTGAAAAAAATTAATTCACGAGCTAATGCACTCTCAAGATTAATTACTTAAATAGGGTGAAATCTACAGTGTTGGCCGTAGGTCGTCATGCCTTCCGGGCGACCTACTAGGTCGCCATGTCTTCCCGGCGAGCTACAAGAGACTGCATGTGCCATGCACGTCCCAACACGCTGGGCATCCGAGGCCATCCGACCGAGGCCATCCGAGAGCATCCGAGGCCATCCGACCGAGGCCATCCGAACGAGTTATGCGAGGGCATCCGAGGGCAACCGAGCGAGCTATGCGAGGGAATCCGAGGGAAACCGAGCGAGGGTAGGTCGCCCGAAGGGCATGGCGACCTACAAGGTCGCCCGGAGGGCATGGCGACCTATGTGTTGGGACGTGCATGTGCCATGCAACACGTTCATTCTCTCTGTTTGAGCAAGGGTTGGTCGCCCGGAGTGCATGGCGACCTACGTCCAACACTGTGGATTTCATCCTATTTGAGCAATTAATCTTGGGAGTGCATTAGCTCGTGAATTAATTTCTTTCAGAACATTATCTCGAAAGTTTTGCCCCCATCTCAAGCTAAGTTTATTAATATCATAATTTATTATTCCTAAACTTTGCTATGGTAGTTGTGTTTTTATTCGATGTTGAGCTTTTATTGGAATGGGGGATATCAATTAAATAAAATTAACAATTTTATTAATTATCTTATAGTTTACTATAAAATTATTGACTGTTAAGAGTGTTGTGATTTAAATTCTGTCTTAATTTGGTCTACAAGTCTGCGATGTAATTTGTTTGGTAAAAAATAAAATGAAAAGAAAAAATTGATATTTATGGTGGGCTACATTCTTAGATTAAATCATCTCCAATCGAGATGGGGCTATAAATGAGATGAGACAGATTTCAAGATACTCGAGATAGATTCGGTTAAAGCTCGATAAATACTAGACTATAATAGACTCGACTCGAATTCTTAACGAGCCGAAATGAGCTATTTGATACTCGACTCAAAAAACTCGTGAGCACCTCGAAAATATAATATATTAAGATTTTTTTTTCAAAAAACAAATTATTAATAATATTAATATTTATGTGTCGATTTTTAAAAAAAATAAATTATTAATAATATTAACATTTATGTTGATTTTTTTTAAAATGCAATATAAGGTTTTCATGCATTTAAGGTTCATGTTCGAGTTTGAGTTTGAGGCTTCAATTGAGTTAAGTTTAAGATTTTTTTTTTCATTTCGAGCCTTTTCGAGGTTTTACGAGCTTCAGTTCACGATTTCGAGTTTGAGTCGAGCTTGAAAATTTTAGGCTCTCGAGTTTTCGAATAGAGTCGAGCTCTATTTCAGAGTCTTCAAGTCGAGACGAGATCAACAATACTCGAGCTCGACTCAGCTCATTTACAGCCCTAATCGGGAGTGTAGGGGCATAATCTCTTAGTACGAATTTGGGGCACATCCATTAAGGATTTAGCATGGGCACGTATCCATCTTAAAATTTAAATTTTCTTCGAATAATTATATATTTTAATAATTTTGTCTACCTTGAAATTTAGTTGTGTATGCCCCATATAAAGTTTTTATGTGATTAATATGTATGTCATGTGTACACCTTAAAAATATTTCTAGATCCCTTACTGATACAAATTTTGTCACATAATTTAAATGCATATAGGACTATATTTTTTATTAGAAGTTGATTAATAGTATGGAATCTAATTTTAGTTGATTTATTGCTACACAAAATTTATTTAAGATCAAGTAATTATTCTATAAATATATACTGAGGATTAATAGGATTAAAAATTAAGTGTCTTCTTATGTTCGAGGTTCATGAAATTTATCTTTCTTTCCATGTACTATTGTTTATGGTTTCCTACGTGAACTCTTAGTATCTCCTCTATTTCATAATTCTTATAGATTTATATATTTGAATAAATATAAAATTGTGTATAAGTTTTAAAAATGTTTATTCCTTTCTAATAATTTGAAGTGATTATAAGATAATATATTTAGAATTTTGATAATTTGTACACATAGACGCAACTGTTCGAATCCTATTAAAATAACATTCTCTTTTACCACTACTAGGCTACATAATAAATTCAAAAAGATCAATTTTATAGAATTAAACTTCATATCAATAGTTAATGTTAATCTTTACATCAAATAAATCTGCATTCCAAATAACATTATATTCAATACAAATACAAATATGAGTATAAAAATATAATAGTCCAATAATTATCTAAATACACAAAAATATAATATATATATATATATATATAAAATTCAACATGTTCATATTAAATCACCCAAAACCCATGGTCAACCCTTATATCATAATTCCAAGAAACATAAATATAATGAGAAGGAGCTAGTTCTCAACTCTCTTGGTTATGGAAAGAAGAAACTTCACATGGCTTTAGCAGTATTTGCAGGCAAAATGGCCGCCCAACTGGCCTTTATATAGCACTTCCCTGACACCATGTCTCATCCCATATCTTCTCCAAACTGAAAAAACACTTGAAGATCGGTAGGAGAAGAAGAAAAAACACAAACCCTTGCTTTTAAAAACACACACAGACATGGAAAGAAGATGGTCTTTCCTCTTGGCAGTCCTTGCCCTAGTTTTCATTTCCATGGAAGCTACCAATGCGCAAGGCAACAGCAAGAAGAAGGCACCGTACGATGCTGCTTCAACGCATTACGATGTTTTGGCACCGAGCAGTAGCGGACGAGAAAGAGTTTATTGCCAAGCGAGAGGAGCCTGTAATGGAAAGGTACTCACATGTCCCAAACAATGCCCTCAAAGGAAGCCCAAGAAGAATAAGAAGGTCAAAGGATGCTTCTTTGATTGCAGCAGCAAATGTGATGTCACCTGCAAATGTAAGTACATGTGCACATATATGTATGTATGTTAGTGTATGTAAGCTGATGACTTGAAGTTCTTTGACAGGGAGAAAGCCGAACTGTAATGGATACGGGTCTCTATGTTATGATCCGAGGTTTGTTGGTGGTGATGGAGTTATGTTCTACTTCCATGGAGCCAAGGGAGGAAACTTCGCCATTGTATCGGACGATAACCTCCAAATCAATGCACATTTCATCGGAACTCGACCGGAAGGACGTACACGAGACTATACGTGGGTGCAAGCCCTTGCCATCATGTTCGACAAATACACTCTAGTCCTCGCCACAAAGAGGGTGTCTAAATGGGATGAAAGCTTCGATGCTCTCACCGTACGATGGGACGGCGAAGACGTAAACCTACCTACCGAAGGAGACGCCGAATGGAGGACTAATTCCGAAGAAAGGGAGGTCATAGTCGAAAGGACCGACAAAACCAACGGCGTTAAAGTCACGGTTGCGGGGCTGGCGGAGTTGAACGTAAGAGTTAGAGCCATAGGTGAACATGAGAACAAGGTTCACAATTACCAGTTGCCACCTGATGATGCCTTTGCACATTTGGAAACACAGTTCAAGTTCACCCAACTGAGCCCTCTAGTGGAAGGAGTGTTAGGAAAGACTTATCGGCCGGACTACGTTAGCACCGTGAAACGAGGCGTGCCGATGCCGATGATGGGCGGTGAAGACAAATACGTGACACAATCGCTATATTCGCCTCTCTGCAGTGCTTGCAGGTTTAAAGGACAAGCCGGTTCAGCTTCAATATAAGGATAAGCTCAATGTATACTGATTTAAAAAAAAAAAGGCATACATGCAATGTATGTATATTTTGTTTCCTTTGTGATTGAAATTGTAACGTTAATAAGGGCTAGGATTTTGCCCATGATATTATCATTTATTTTGAACAGAGATGTACACAACTTTTATCGATATATGTTTAACTAGTTTGGCATATTTCAATAAAAAAAATTCTAATCTTAATTCAAATAACAATCTCATGAGTGAAGTATCTAATGTACTTGAGAAACTAAAGTACTTATCTACTTGAGGGAAAATACTATTACTATGATAAAGAGTTTGAATTCTTTTATCTAATGTAATTTTTTTAATTTTATTAAGATTTTTTATTGTTAGATGAGTGAAGTATATTGTTAAGGTTAAATCTTTTCTTTTCAATGAATATCTTCTCATTTACTACGATTAATCTCAATTATCTATTTTTACTTAAAGACCCTAAATTCGTATAAGACTAAAAGAATTTTATATTACATAATTGGATCTTATCTCATGTCAAATACATATATATATATATATATATATGTTCGAAATTGACTCCCAAATTTGAATAACATAACAAACTTTTGTTTGATATTGACTCAAAATTTAATTATAAATTAAATTGGATTTGTTGTAGTTAATTCTATTAACTAAAAATTAATTGACGATTACGTTTATTTAGTTAAGATTTTTTATGTGATATTAAGATTCTTGGTGATCAAATATTAATTTGACTATATAAATAGAGAGTAAATTTTAATACATGAATTTTGTGATGGGTTAATTAAGTTTAAAATTTAAATCTAAATTCCAGTAATTCATCTCTCTAAAAAGGGAAAGAAAAGGAAATAATTACGAGGGATAAGGGTGGACTTTGGAGGGGCGGATGGGGGCGATCACCCTCTAAAAGTTTAAAATTATCATATATTTTAGATTTTTTTTATGTATTTTTTATTGAAAATTTGCTTTCATCCTCCTAAAATTTTATAAGTTCAAATTCGTCCCTAGAATTTTATAAGTTCAAATTTATCCCCTAATATAAAATCTTAAATCCGTCCCGGTGGTTGGAGTTGGAGTTGGAAGACAGCTTGTTTATCAAGCAAAGGATGAAACTGCAATTTGTTCAATATTCACTGCCAACTTGCAAGTTCAATTTCCCAGCAAAAAGTAAAAGCAAATACAGTACCCTCTTTATCTTTGCAAGATCCCGAACCCCATCAGTGGTCGAACTGGTCCACATTTATAATAGAGGAATTAAACTGGTCCATTCAATAGCAGAAGGATTAAACTGGCATAAACCCTACAATAGAGGGACTTAACAGGTACTTTTCATCCCAGGAGCGAAAACCAGAAGAATGTTACTTGGAACCTAAATTACCTTTCCAATGCTGTGAAAAGATAGAGCATCTGAAAAAAAAGCTTTTGAAAATTGTCGATTCTTACAACAAAATAGATGCATACATGCAAACTTGCATTTTGCGTATACTCAACTCAACCCAACCAAGTAACCAACGACATTTCTGTATGTGATTTTTTTGTCCAGGCCAGCATCAATGGTCTAAAATCCTAATTGTGTCTTACCAACTCGTTTGGGTTTAAATTGAGAAACAAAAAACATCAAAATCCACCTTACTATCTCATGATAGTAAATTTGAAATCGTTTTTTTGTTGACGTTCCAGTTTCCGAGGTTTTTCCTTAACTAATCCTGACCTACCCGAGTCGCACACCTGACTTTGGTGGATGAGTCCTTCAACGAGAATTTTCTGTATACATAAAGACTCGAACTTGAGTATCTATAAGTCATCCAAAATTTTGTTACTCTCAAATACAATTCAAATATTTAAACCAGCGTTATAGCGTACATCACACAGTCGTTATTGTAACATCTAAAAAGACAAGATATCTTTTAATATAAAATTTTAAATAATTTTAATCTTATATGAAAATTATGTGCTATATAAGTGGATCATGGGTCAGGTCATACTAGGTTTTTGGCCCACTTGAATTTAACCCGAAAATTAAACTCCCTCTATATGTATTCGATTCGAGTTGAATTTAGGAGGTCCTCATCCTATCTGAAATTCCAACCAATGTTAGGTCAAAACTCATACTCGACCTGACACGACTTATATTATATATATTATTTTTATTATGTAAAATTGAAAAATATATAAAATGTGTATCATTATAATTATCCATAAATATATTCAGGATCGTTATAATATTTAGTTGGGTCAATTTTTTTTATTTTAAACTCAAACTTAACCTAATTCTACCATTTAAAATAAAAATAATAATAATAATAATAATAATAAAAAACTCAACCCATCTATTTTTAAAAAAATAATCGTTTTATCATATCATATCGAATCAAAATACATCAAATCTAGATGGAATTTTCATCCTTACTGCCCTAAACTATATATATTTTAAAATTAAGAGAAAAATTCTAACCTTAACTTACCGTTATGAACATGGAAAAAATAAATGCTTTTGCCTACAAAATAAATGAATGTAAGAAAAGGAAAGAGCAGCGAAATATTAAAGCAGGAGGGAGGTATCCCGGGATGGACTGAGGGGTTGGGATGCGGTCGTATCTTTAGAATTTTTAAATTTTTTTATATTTTAAATTTTACTTTTGTATTTTTTTTAATTGTTTAATTCCGCACTTCTAAAATTTTATAACTTCGTATCCTCTAAATTCTTTTAATATAACTTCTTTGTATCTCACATAAATCTATGCATCCATCCATCTTGAGGAGCGATTATCGGCTTGAATCGAAGTGGCGATGGAAATGAAGGCCCCACGACGGGCAATTAGGCGTGACAAACAGGGCCCAATCGCCCAATTTACCAGTTGGAAACTTGTTTCCTAAGCTAGGCATTGCCCATCATGATTCGTATCTTTATTTGGTTACCCGTCCACTCCATTCTGCTCTGTTTTTCCTGTTTTTCCACTCAATATAGTTTCCCCAACACTCAAACTTTAAGATATTTGGTTGCATACTTGCATTCATATTTTGTCAATTATATCTTTCAACGTATTACATCCAAGTTATTCATTAAATAAATATATTTACAGCTTATAGGATTGTTCTCTAAGTTCTAGATTCGAGTTTGTTATATTCGTAGGATGTGTGCTTTAACAATAGTTTAAGAAATTTATAAACAAATAGTATCTTTTAATTACCAATGACTATTAAAGAACACTTAATAATCAGAGACGAACGTAAAATTTTATATTAGAGAAACGATTATTTCCTTCGATCTATCATTGCTTAAATTGATTGATAAATCTGATTATATTAACATTGATGCTTTGAGAAACCCAACTAAAACAATCAATTTAAAATCTAATGAATTTATATATGAAAATGACGTAACATTATTTTCTAAAGTTAATAACTATGTTTTTTCTAAACTAAACTAGCATATTTTACCTACCTTGATCCTCAATAAAACCCCCTCTCCCTTCCAATGGAATCATCCAACACATTTTGTTGAAGGACCACTTCTTCCCTTGTGATCTACATTGTTTTGAGTTGCCCAAAAACACAGAATGAAGCTACAATATGTCTTCACCATTCTCTCTTTTCTCATCCTCTTAGTCCTACATGGTTCAACAACCTCAGCCCAAGGTCCAGCAGCGGCACCGGCGGCACCAATAGCTCCGGTGGCTGCAGCCCCGGCACCTCCTGGTCCAACGAACGTCACCAAAATCCTCGAAAAAGCCGGCCAATTCACCCTCTTAATCCGTCTTCTAAAATCCACACAAGTGGCCGATCAGCTGCTCGGTCAGCTCAACAACTCCAACAACGGGATGACCCTATTCGCACCGACGGACAATGCGTTCTCGAGCCTTAAATCCGGCACGTTGAATTCGCTCTCCGACGAGCAGAAAGTCGAGCTGGTGCAATTCCACATCGTCCCGACGTACCTCACCTCGTCTCAGTTCCAAACTATTAGTAATCCATTGAGAACACAAGCCGGTGACAGTGGCGATGGCAAGTTCCCTCTCAATATTACAACAACGGGGAACTCGGTGAATATCACAAGTGGATTGACAAACACTAGTGTTTCCGGCACGATTTACACCGACGGTCAGCTGGCCGTTTATCAAATCGATCAGGTACTTCGGCCTCTGCAATTATTCGCTCCTAGGCCTCCAGCTCCGGCTCCGGCACCGGCAAAGTCGAAGAAGAAGAAGGCTTCTGTTGTCGCCGATAGCCCCGATGAAACTCCGGCGGATAACTCCAAAGCGGCTGCCGTGCAAAATATAGTCTTGTTTGGTGTTGCTGCTGTAGTTGGTGCAATTTATTTGTGACCATGATCATGGAGAAATGAAGACACTGATTGTGATGGGTTGTATTAATATTCAACGGTGGTGATCAACATGAATGTTTTTCCTTTTTTTTTCAATTATCATCATTATAAAATTGAATTTTGATATGTGTTTTTTTTTTATTTGTTTGTGTTGTTAATTTGGTCTTGAAATTCTCATTGTAATATATTTCTTCTGGATTATTTCATGTAATTGTGAATTTTGTGGTACTTTCTTTAACTTCTTTGTAAAGATTTTGCATCACTGTACATCAATATAACGTTTACTCAATCAACCATATATATGAAAATTTATAGATAAAAAGGCATCAAAATCTTTGTACTTTTGAAGAAAAAAATCAATATGACATTCATATTGTTTTTTTCTCTCAATATGGTTCCCCAACTTAGAAAACATACCTAATGTGACCCTTCGACCAACGTTTTTCGTCGTTTAATCGTTCTAGTACTGACATGGCAGTTCTGGTACTGACATGGCAGTTCACGGTGTTGATGTTGCGGTCCACGATACTGACGTATCAATCCATCCATATCCATATTTATCAATGTAGTCAATATGTTGTGTTATCCTCCACGTTATCAACTACCGTAGATTATCACGTCAACACTATAAACCACCACGTCAGTACCGTGAACTGCTACGTCATCAATGTAACAGTTAACGACGAAAAATATTGGTCAAAGAACCACATTAGGTATGTTTTCTGAGTAGAGAATCTTATTGAGAGAAATAATATGAGAGTCACATTGATTTTTTAAACTACATGAACCACTTATGCTTTTTTACAAAATTTTATTTTATATAAAATTTTATTTAACGAAAAATTACAAATAAAACCATAAAACCTTACATATTTATACTCAAACATACAAAATATCCAAAATATATATACTATAAACATTCAAAATATAGAGGGAGAAAAAACCCTTCAAATTCAAACCAACAACCAAATCTATGATGGATCTCCATCTCCTTGTAACATAACACCCAACTTCCTAAAACAAAGAAACAACAAGAGGCCCAGGGTGACATCTTGGGCCCGTCTAACTTATTAATCAAGTAAAACAATTGTGTATTTTAAAAAACAGCCTTATATCATAAATAAGCTCCTAAAAGTGTACTTTCATTTTTATTTAAGTATTTAAAGTATTTTTTGTCAAAATAAATACCTAAAATTATATTTTTAATCAAAATAGGTACTTAAAGTATTTTATGTCAAAATATGCACCTAAACTATTCAAAATTTTCTATTTAAGCTCTAAAATTTGACATGTAGCGTTAATTAAAGAATACTTTAGGTACTTTAATGAAAAAAATTGAATAATTTTATACCTATTTTTATAAAAAAAATACTTTAGGTACTTATTTTGACCAAAACATAGTTTAGGTACTTAAATGAAAAAGATGATATACTTTAGGTACTTGTTTGTTATATAAGCCTAAAAAATATCAACTCTATAGTATCTAATCATCAATAAATTTTCTATTTAAAATTTGGGTAAAGTACACAAATGGTTCCCCGGCTATAGGATACTGCTCTATAAAGTCCCTCGACTATGGAAAATTACAAAATGATCTTCCAACTATAGAGTGTTATTTTGTTAAGTCCCTCGACCATTAAAGTTACAAAATGGTCACTCGACCAGGGTTTCAAATCACGATCCGAAAACGTGATAGCGCCCGCGAAATAGCGGTTTCGCCGCCGCCCGAGGTACCCGCTACACCCGCAATAGCACCCGCAACGGCCACAATCACGGTAAACCCAAAATGATCGAAAACGCGACCGCGATTTGATACCATGCACTCAACTATTCATTATGTTCCAAACTCGTCTTTTTCTGTTAAAAAATTGATGGTATTCTGAGCTGAGCATTAACATGTTGATTATGATATGATAAAATATGTTCCTAGAATCTCAAATAACTATCATATTTCAGTCAGCATGTTAACGTTTAGCTCAGAACATCATCAATTTTTAACGGAAAATGACGAGTTTTGAACATAATGAATAATCGGGTGACCATTTTGTAACTTTTAATAGTCGAATGACTTAATAAAACAGTATCCCATAGTAAGAGGACCATTAGTGTACTTTGCCCTTAAAAATTTTAATCAAATTGTTGATAGTGTTTAATATTGTGTGAAATGATAAATACGTGTTAATAATTAACAGAGTTGTTATTTTGTTTTTTTAAGGTAAAGTTGATTATTCTCTTTTTAGGAATGTGACAAAGTGATGAATACACAGAAGATTCTTTGGGAGCTTTATAACGATATTATAAAGTCATTTGTTTTTTACTCTCTTCTCAAAGTAAGATCTCAACTTTTTTTTTTTTACTTCAAGTACTAAGATTGCGATGTGGGACTAGAATTTAATTAAATAAGCATAGAATACAAAAACTTTCTTATACGGTAAATATACTTTTTCCAATAACTTTCAATAAATTTTATTAAATTTTATTAAATTATATTAAAATTTTAATTTGTAATGAAAAATCTTTATCAAACAATATAAAATATATAAGATGTTTTTAGAAAAAGGAAAACATACGACATATTGTGAAGTTTAAGATGTGTACTAAGAAGATTATTGTAATTATAAAATGATAACGAATTAACTAAAAGCCACTCTGATTATTTTTTGCAAACCCTAGCCGCTCTCTCCCTCCCTCTCTCCCCCTCTTTTCTTTTTCTTTACAATTTGTGCTATTTTTTAATGATCAAATCAGCTTTTTCTTATTTGATTTTGTTTAACCGACGACACACCAGTTTTGATGTTGGTTGGTGACTGCCAATTGTATTTTCTCTTTGTTTTTTTAATAAGAATAATTTTATCTTTGTGATGCGTTCATCTCTGTCTTTGTTGCACGTTTATCTCTGTCTTTTGGTAGTTTTCGGTCGTTTGACTGTTATATTTTTTCATCTTTTTTATAAGCGTTGGATTTGATATCGCTACGACTGATCAAAATGGCGCTTATTTGTTATCATATTGATCTTCCCTGTTTGGAACCTCGGATTGATTTGAATGTGTATTTTGCGTTCGTGGATAATTTTCTCATGTCGCTTGACTCTAATTTACGATTTTTCGGTGGCTTTTCAATAGCTTCATCCCCTTTTGTGTTTTATTTTCCGATGTAGTCAGATTTGTTCGAATCTTTATTTTGCATCAGATTTGTTTGTATCTTTAGTTTGTTCGAGCATTTTTGTTAGGTTTTTTAATCTTTTCCTTCTTTGTTCCTTGTGTGATCTAGATTGCTAGTTTTTGTATCAATGGTTATAGTAAAATATCATAATTATAATTTAGTTTGCATTTACGGTTATGCCATTCTGGATATTTTCTATTTTTAATAAAACTAGCGATTTTCTATCAAAAATAAAATGATAACTAATTAGAAAGCAAGGTAATATTCTCTAGGGTTATTAATTGACAGTTATTGTTTTGATTTTTTTGAAAGAAAAAGGGTAAAAATAGAAAATGTAATTGTTGTTATTTGTTAACTTTTATAATAGAACATTTTGAATAAAATAATTTTAAAAATCTAAAAGGAACAAATTTAATGGGAGCGGAAGGAGTAAGTTATTGTGAGAGTAAATAATAATAATTTTTTTTCTGGTTGCACTCTCGATTTTAAGATTTTTACTTGACTAATCTAGACCGGTTGCATTACACGCCTGACTTTGGTGGATGAATTTTCCAAGAGAGATTTCTACGTACACAAAGATTCGAACTCAAGACATACTTAAACGATATCAAACTATTCACCTTAAAAAAATAGATTTACCTAAAAAATCATAAATCCAAAACAACAAAAACAATTATACAAGCTTATTTTTACTGAGGTTATACACGTTAAACTGATAATGTATGTAAATAAATTCTAATGCGAGAAGAGAAAATGAAAACTAAGTTTGAAAAATAGGGTCACATCGCCCTCACAAGGAGGGAAACACAGTGCAAATATTAAAAAAAAAACTAAAATTCTGAAAAGCTTTCAACAAAATAAATACGAAAATTAATTTTTAAAAAAGTGAAAACTGAAAACTCAACGTTGCATGGAGGGCCCCAACGCTGCATTGTCTCTTTCCTTCACTCCCTTCCACCACGCAGTCCAATGGTCCCATTCAAAAGACTCCCGAGTCCCGAGTTGACTCAGTGCTGCTTCATTTTCCCTTCATTAAGCTAGCACATTCAGCTGAATTAACCACCTTTAAACTACCATTGTAATGATCAACTCCATGGCTGAACGGAGCCCATTGAAGCTAACTCACCAAGCTCTCGTCGGAACATCGATGGTCTACTCGATTCGCTTCCCACACCAAGGAAGTCCCTGGTTAAGCTCGCTTCGACTTCATTTGCATTCATCTTCATCTTCAACCTCGAGCTCGAGTTCAACTCTCTCACCAACTCATTTGGGGTAAACACCTTGTAAGAACCTCCATTCTTGTTGTGGTCACCACCATTAGGGTTCGAAATCATCGAGGAACTCAATAACCCAAATAACTCACTGTTATTGATTGAAGGGTTGCTTCTCGTAGATCCCATTTGGGCTGCTTTTTGCAGGAGTGCAGTGGCTGACATGTGAGTATTGTTTTGTCGGAGACAGTTCTGAGTATTATTCGAATATAAAGATGTTATAGATTCCGACAAATCTCCCTTGTTGTCATCTTCCTTGGGTACTCGTTGCAATGATGCTTGTGGTGGGTACTGGCTGAGCCATTGTGCTTGCGATAATGAACCAAAAACGTTCATTGGTGCAACCATTTCGGTCAAGCTTGTAGGTTTGGGTGCAAAATAAGCATCGACGTTGCTTTGAATACTACCAATTGGGTTAATAAGGTGGGAATTAGGTTGGTCTGCAATGTTAATCAAATCGTTTCTAAATCTTGCACTTTCTTCAGCTAATGCATCGCAGAAAGCTCTATGTGTAATGAAACTATCCTTCCTGCATGACAAAAAAATGGCCATTTAATTCTTCAACAAAATAATCATACCAAAACATACCCTAAACTATATATATAGGGCTATAAATGAGCTAAGTTGAGCTCGAATATAGTTGAGGTTTACCCAACTAAAAAATTTCAAAGTTGAGTTTAACTAAACTCAGAAGCTGATGAGCTTAAAATTGTCAAGTTTAACTCGAATTCGAAATCAAAAACTGAAGCCCAACTTGAAAAACTGGAACTTTAAACATTCACATATTTAGCTCGATTGACGTTCAAACTCAAACATGAATTTTAAATACATGAAAATCTTATACTACATTTAAAAAAACATATAAATTTTAATATTATCAATAATTTAATTTTTAAAAAAACTAAAATTTTAATATATCACTCGAGTTACTCGGGAAATTTTTTAATTGGATATCAAGTAACTCATTTCGGTTCGTTTAGAAGGCAAGTTGAGTTCAAACTCAAGTTGAATTCATTCGAACATAGTGTTGACTAAATCAAACTCAAAGAATCTCTAATCTCTTTATTCTCATTTACAACCCTATTTGTATAATACCTGGAAAAGAGGGTTCCACAGTCACAACGATACTCTCGAGTGCCACAAATCTTACTATGAGCTTTCCAATCCGACTTAACTGCATACTTCTTGGAACATTTCTCGCACTTCCATTTCTTCTCGCCATGTTTACGGCTAAAGTGCTTCTTTATACCAGTGAGGTCACCGAGTGCCCTCGACGGATCATGGTGGACGCACGTCTTCTCAGGGCAGATGTAAACTTTCTTCCTAACTTCTTTGTTGGTTCTTTGCTTGAGCTTCCACGGCAGATTGTGACCTCTCCTATGCAGTTGTAAGTTCTGGTCCCTCTGAAAACCCTTGTTGCAGATTTCACACAGGAATCTGTTGGTCGCCATTAGAGACTTTGGAGATAAAGCAATAACTTCAGCATCTGGATCTGATCAATAAAAAGAGAATTAAAACCCATATAAAAAACAGTTCTCAAAACAAAATTAAATCTGATAAACAGACTTGCCTGGTGTCCCTGGTAAATTTCTCTTCCTCTTCGTTGGATTGACAGTAGGGTTAGGGTTTTGATTTGGTTCTTGAGACATCGTTTTTTTTTTCTCGATTTGATGAACTGATCAACCACTGAAAAAACAGAAAATCTATACCGAAAGTAAGTGCACGAAATAAAACCAAAACTCCACAAGCTGAAGCAGCTTTGAGGAAAACTAATCTTATACTTCAGAAACTTACGATAGTACAAGAAAATAATAGGGTTTACTAGAATATAAACACAACCCAACAATTCTCTTTTATTGTTTTTTTTAATGAAAGGTTGATATTTGAACTCGATGTTTCTTGGGGGGGTTTGGTAGATGAGTTAGTTTTGAAATTTGGGTTAAAAGAAAAACCCAGAAGAAAACTCCAAAAAGAAAGCTAGGTGGAGAGAATATTTTCTTGCTCCCATGGCCATCCCTTTCTCCCACCTTATCCTACACGGCTTCTCTTTCCAAGTCAGCCAAAGAGTCACATGGAACACCTTTTTTTAATTCATTTTATATAGAAATAACACTCTAATACCACATACAAATGGGTATAGTAAAAAAAATGATTGTTGTTTTTAAAGATCATATATTCAAATAGTTGTATTTATAGATATATTTAAGTTATAAATTATTAAAAAAATTATTATAAGATATTACCTCAAAAAAATAGAAAAGGTTAGATTGAAAAGAAAGGTGGGAATTAATAAAAGGGTAAACTAAACTAATAGTCATTAATGTTTGGTTTAGTTTTTGTTTTGACCAATGAAATTTGAAAAGTTACATTGGTGTGGCTTTCTAAAAACAATTTTAGCTAAAAAGTTCGACCGCAAAATCAATGTCAAACGGGTAAAAAATAAAATAAAAATTATCCTGGAAACGACGGTTTCAAATCAACCGCAAAGACTAGGATTTCTAGCTCTTTCTTTTTCAACTTTGCGTTTTAAAACAAATTATAATTTTACCGTTACTAATACATGGGCTCCACTCAATTATGTATTTATATTTTATTTTAATAATTTAATACTAATATCCTTAAAAAATAATTTATTACTTAATCATTTACTTTAACTACTTAAAAAGTAAATAAAATTCATGATTTATATAAAAAAATATTAATAATGAGTTATTATAAAATATATTTTTATTATAATTATATTTTTATTATAGTTTAAATTAATATGATTCATTCGCTTTAAATGGGCATTTGCATATTATGAACATTTAGCATACAAAGCATTCCAATTCAACATACACCCACATGCATGGAGTTTCAGTTGTTCTTACAAAAAGTTGCCTTCGATTGATATGTAGAAAAGAATGCAGAATTTCAGCTATAAGTTTGGGCCAAATAAGTGAAGGATATGAGAAAATATTTCATGGATCTGACTCACCACATCATTTATAATTCCAGTGAATCGCATCTATTAGTTTTAAAATAGATACTCCTTATTTACACATAGGAAAGAGGTGAATATTCACCTTAAAAAAATGATATGAAAAATATTATTGGTTGGGACCATGAATGACGTGTTGAGCCGAGTCTATCTATTAACTTTTAGGTGCATACAGTTAAAAAAACTCGTTAAGTGACACATGTCATGTTCAAATTTTTTAAATAATATTTTATTTTAAAAAATAAAAAATATAAACTGACACATGTAACTTATTAGTTTTTTTTAACGGTAGACACCTAAAAGTGTAACGGAGAAAACACTATGCACTTATTTTTAACAAAAATATTTAGACACGAAAAATTAATTTTGGATACAATTTATACGTTTATTTTTGTATTAAACTAATTTTAAAATAGTAACAAGTTACTGAAAAAATAATAGATATATTAGTGATATTTCATAAGTTAGGTATTAATTAAAATATTGAAGAAAAGGTTTGAAAAGGATGGAATCAAATTGATTTGGGGAGAGGGGAATTATTGAATGAAAAGTGAGTTGCCTTTACAGCCAACACATTGTGATTGAAGATTGATATTTTAAAGAAAAATGGTTAATGTTACGAGTGTAACGACAAGCATCAGCCGGGAGGTTTTCTTATTGGGTTTAAAATATCAATAATTAAATATCAATAATAAATTAATTTAGTGAGACAAGATATTAAAACTGTTAAATAAAATTAGAGATTTATATTTTGAGATTTATAAATAAATAAATTGAATTGGGAGAATAACTCTTTCTTTTATAAAATTATATTTAAAACAATAGACTAATAGATTGGATAATACAAAGAAAATATAAATAAATAATAGGTTAAATTTCACGTTTAGTATCTGAATTATCAATTTTGGCCCATTTTAGTATATAAACTTTTAATTTTTATCAAAATCATACCTAAAGTTTAGTTTTTGTTTTATTTAATACTTATGTTCAAAATTTAATGTTAATTTTTGAAAAAAAAAATAAAAGTTTGAGTACTAAAATGGATCAAAATGCGTTAAATTTTTAACAAGGGTGTTAAAATAAAATAATAATTAAATTTTAAGTATGATTTTAAAAAAATTAAAAATTTAATTATTAAAATGATTAAAAATAATAATTTAAATATTAAATACATAGTTTAGCCTAAATAAAAAAGGTGGAAAGTTTGAGAGAGATTGGAAAGGTTGGCGCTCGTGAGAAGCGAGTCGACAAAGACAAAACGCGTAAGGCAAATGGAGAGGGGACCCACGAAAGAGATTATCAATAATATCAAATGTAGGGGTATATAAAAATATCTGATCCGATAATTCAATAATACATTTTGAATATTCGAATATCTAATCTAATTTTTTTTCCGAATAATTTCGACCAAATATTTATAAATAGATTGGATGCAAATAAAGACGGAGCTAGAATTAAATATTGGTATGAGTTGAAATATTGAAGTTTTTAAGAAAAATACAATGACTTATTAAGTATTTAAATTTGAAATTCATAAAACAATGTATAATCCGTCTAATCTAACTTACATTGACCTAAATTGTTATTAGACCATAAAATTTGAGAATATGACATTTTTTTCTTTAGTTCGCCTCTACTTGATTAAATATTTAATAAATTCTTATTTTTTTTGAAATTTAAATGCTTATTTTTACATGAATGAGAATAATGTTAGACTAAAATCTATCATATATATAAAATTTTCACAAGGGCCAGGACCCCTTTGGGTAGAGATGGGCACGGGTCGGGTTTTGGTCAACCCGACCCAATTCGAAAATTTTACACCCTCCACCCAATCTGATATGCCCTGAAAAATATATCCCCTCCACCTGACTCAAACCCGATCCAACTTTTTGATATAAAATTCGAACCTGACCCGACTCGAAGTAATAAAAATATTATTTTATTTAGGGATTTAATTTATATATATATATATATATATATATATATATATATGAGTATTATTGTAATTATCCCTAAATATATAAGGTAAAATTATATTTTTTTGAAGTCAAGTCGAGTGTTTTTCACCCTAAACTCGAACCCGACCCGACCTATACCCGATTTAAAAAAAAACCCTGATCCAATCGAGTTAGGTCGAGTCGAAACTCATCGAGTTCAGATCCCATGCCCATCCCTACCTTTGGACCCCAACATAGCTCCGCCCTTGGATACAAATAAAAAAAATCTTAATTTCAGATTATTCAAATATCAGCAAATTAATGGGGCTTTAGCCCTAAACCCAATAGCCCTATATTTCATGGAAGACTTTTCCAAATCTCAGCCTGCAATAGTAACTGGACTGTTTGTTTTTACTTTCAAACAATATCAGCCTACAATGATAATGGGCTATTGGGGTGATTATATTTTTATTATATAATTTTATATGATCCAAGTATAAATATTAGATATTATTAGCATGATTACAGGTAGCTTCATTCGACCAAGCAGTAGCTATGTTAGATATATTAGTAAATGATACGTATATTAACTATTAAGATATTATGAAATAAACATATTGAAATAAAAAAAATACATTTTATAATAAATTTTTATATTTACAATTATTTGTTATTTTTAAACATTTTGTTTAATTATTTATTTTAAAATTTATTTAGTTATTTATTTTGAAATTCTTTAATATTTTTATTAAAACACTGAATAAAGATCTGATATTAATTTTCATATATCCTAAAATTTGGATATTTGATTTTTTTCAGATACATATCACTATTTTAATGATCCAAAGTTTTATATATTAGATCCGACATCTGAATTTACACCCCCTAATCAGAAGCAGAGGTATACTGATAGTATAGTATAAGATTATATTTTGTTTATGTTATTTTTGTATTCATGGTGTTACAAATTAATATAAATTTTTATATAGATAATTAAAATTTATATATTTTTGTTGTATTCATATTATTTCCATATCATATATGCTTCAGTTATGTTCGTATGTTAATTTCTATATTTTTGACATGTTTTTCGGTTTTTAACCGTTTTTTCATTTATCTTTTTTTTAAAGAATTGATTTGACATCGTCACGACTGATAAGATGACACTTATCACATATCTTATTGATATTCTCTGTTTTGGACTCTCGGATTGGATTTGGATACCTGATTTGAGTTCGTTGATAACTTTTCACATAGTTCAAGTCTAATTTGCAGTTTGTTGGTGGTCGTCTTTCAATAGTTTGATCCATTTTGTGGTTCGTTTGTCGATGCGATCAAATCTGTTTGTATCTATTTTTGTTTGAATTTCTTGGTTAGATTTAATATTTACTTGTATGGTCCTTATGTGATCTTAAGTTGTTAGTTTTGGTTTAAAGATTATAGAAAATTTTCCTAATTATGTACTTAATTTACGATTGTTATTGTAAATCTTTATTGTAATTTGGGATATTTTCTATTTTAAATAAAATTAGTTACTTCTATAAAAAAATTAGGTCTAGAGTGTTTTACTTTAAAGTATAGATGGAAACGAGTTAATTTATGTTAGATTTTTTGTGAATTTGATTTGACCTAAAATATATATATTTTTACTTAAATTTGACTTGATTTAATCCAACAAATATATATAATCTTCACATGGATTGTATTCAATTAAAAAATATATACCCTTCATCCGACTTGACTCGATTCCAACAATATATATCTTCTATGTGAATCCAATCCAATCTAAATTTTTAGAGTACAAGACTTCAACTGAAATAAGGATTTAATTAAAAAATTATAGAGAAAGAGAGTATTATAGCATCCATAAATTTATATAAAATTATATTATTACCCTCACGTCGAGCCGAAGGTTTTCACCCTTCACCTAAACTCGACATTACCTTATTCTAAATTAAACCTATCATACATGAACCCAAACTTGATTTAAAAAAGTTAATCTTATCATGTTAGATCAGATCGAAATTCGTTGATTTTAGGTTAAATTGTAATCCCTA